CAGAAATGCACAGTATATAATGTTTTGTGCCATACAAATGTGCCAGAAATGAATAACAAAGGTAGTGTTGCTTATGGCAATGGTTGTACAGTTTCTACACATGAAATCTAGTAATAAAAAATAAGCAACTAAGATGGGAAAAAAATATAATGAGACATTTTTCTAAACTTTCCTTATTTTCAAAAGCTGTGATGGTAATAGATAGTTTTTTTTTTATTTTTTTTATTTAATTTTCATTAACATTTTGGCTGTGCAGAGTATGAAACCATCTTGAATCCAAGCGTCTTTCATTCATCAGTAAACCAAAAGAACATTTCAAAGGACTGTTAAAAATCTTCAAATAAAGGAAAATAATATTATGAGAAATTTATGGTTGTTGGTGAAAAATAATTTTGCATCATACAAGATTTGTGCATGAAGTAACCCGACGAATTAAAAGACCAGATGATAAAATAAAGTGAAAGAGTAAATGTGTGTTCAGAAAATGTGACATCTCAACTGTTGGTAAAGTCAGTTTAACTCGTTATTTTGTCATTTGCATATTAAAATGCCAGAGTTTTTTTTTTTTTTTTTTTTAATTTACTAAGAAGACGTTGCACAAAAAAAATTGCCTCCAGATGGAACAGTGTTATAACATTATATATGTTACAAATTGGGTAAATCTTGCTACCAAAATGTTAGAGGTGATTCGAACAGTATATGAGGATGCATCATTATCAAGAACACTAGCATATGACTTGCAAAACTGCTTTAAATGTGGTTACAAAAGCTTTGAAGATGAACCAAAGATAGAACACCTTTCAGCTTCAAAAAGTGAGAAAAATGTGGAGAAAATTTTTTTCTTTGGTAAAAGCTGATACATGTGTAACAACTCTGCAAATTTCAGACGTGCTTTGAATAAGCAAAGAAAGCTATCTGTTAATTTTAATTGAAAATCTGAAAATAAGGAAAATTTGTACTTGATTTGTTTGTGTTTGGATCTTAAAAGAATGGCAAAAGGAAGACAGAAAAGCTTGCTGTAAAGATTTGCTGACTACTATGAAACAGAGCAATGATCACTCAGTATGAATCATAGTGAGAAATAAGACCTGATTTTTACAATATTACCAAGAAACAAAAAGTCCAATTGCTTTATGGTGTGCAAAAGTTTCATGTCTGATTTTTAAAAATATGATGAAATAAAGTTTCATATCTGATTTCTAACAATAAAGAGGGACACACCAGAGGAGAAAGTCTTGTATTACCTACTGTCTTTAAAATGACAAAAATAGTTCACTTATTGTAGAAAGTAAAATAGTATAAATACTTCACTTGTTGTAGATACTTCTATTGTTGTACAACAATAGAAGTAAATGTGGGAAGATTCTTTTATCAAACAACAGTATCCCAAATAGAATTTCTGAAATTAGCGGTGACCAATTCGAGCAACTTATTGCTAGATTTAATAAAGAAAGCCCAAATTTTACAATTCAGTTGGACAAAACAACTTGTATTTCAAAAATAGTTCAGTGTTTAGTATATGTTAAATATATTTATAAAGAAAGCATTGATGAAAGATTGTTACTTTGTCTTCTTTGGATGAACATACATAGCAAAGTTAAAAATGTTTTTAAAACTTAAGATTTAGAATGAAAAAATTGTATTGGAGTATGCACAGGTGCAAAAGTTATGATGAGTAAAATTATTGTTTTTAAATCGTTTACTTTATCTGCTGGTAATGATCATGTAACTTTTACACACTGCCCGATCCATCGAGAGACTTTTGAAGCAAAAAATTAGCAATGGATCAAGATGCTTTCAAATTATAAAGTGTATTAAAAACTGTGCCCCTGACAGCCATTTATTTTCCAATCTCTTTAAAGATATAGACCACAAATACACAAATTTTATGAATCTCGGAAGTAAGATGAATATCAAGAGAGTGCAGTTTAAGGAGATCATTGCTGTTAAAAGGCGAATTTTTATATTTTTAACCGAGCAAAAAATCTGATCTTGCTGCTCATTATCAAAGTGACTAATGGCTTTCAAAGATGTGCTATTTGTCATATATTTTTGAGAAACTAATTGATCTTAACCTGTCTCTGCAAAGAAGAGATAGTAATATATCTACTTCAATTGGAATAAGTGAAGGTTTTATTAAAAAAAATATCAACATAACACATTTAGAGTGGAAAATTATTCTTTCAAAATGTTTTAGATGATTCACAATTTTATAACTAGGAAAAGTTTTGTAAAACTTTAATTGAAAAAAATTATTACAGATAACTTAAAAACTGTAGAAGCACAGTTCTGAAAGTATATCATATTGAATTTTGATTTCAGAAAGTTTTTTTGTATTAAAAAATATTTTTCATCTATATTAAATAGATAAATCGTGCCATTGAAAGCCAAAGAATTTGCTCAGATATCAAGTCAACCAGATCAAACTTAAAAGTTTCCACAAAAATTCCGTGATTGAATTCTGTATTAGAGAGAGAGAAATAAATTTCCTTCTGTTCCTGAAATTGCATTAAATGTTCTGCTATTCAGCACCACTTACTTATGTGAAATGACTTCTTCATCTTTAATACTTTTTAAATCCAAGTATGGGTTAATGCTGAAAAACATAGGTAAAACAAGTTCTAAATCTACTTCTCTTCATATGTATATTGTTTACCAAAGCAATAAATTATTTATGGGAAAATGTTTATTTTTATATCTTTATTTTGTATTTAGTATCTGTGATTGGATGATAGAAAGGGGTCATAAATGAAAAGATTTATGAAGTGCTGTTTGTAGAGAATGGTTTTTATTGCTGTTATCGAATAACTAATATGCAGCATTTATTTATACACATTAACATGTGTTCAATAAAAAAGTTATTCTTAGGTTTAATTTCCAAAATAAATATACTCAGAACTTTAAAAAAATGTTGATGAAAATTATAGTAAAAGTTTTGGTTTTGCAGTATAAAAATGAAGTCCCCTTTTAGAGGGAAGCTGGTAACATCTTATCGTCAACTCCTGCTTGCAAGGCTGGGTTAAGATACTTAGAGGTCCTCAGCATATAAAGGATTTATGCCCCTGCGTACATTTAGACCAGTTTTTTTCCCCCTGTTTCTTCTGCTTGGGATTTTCACTTCCTGTTTGGGATACATTTTATGGTACAATTTGCAATGTGAAATTTTTGTGGTGCCCCCTTTCTTTGATGCCTTAAGCATATAATTATTTTTCTTAATGGTTTATCCAGCTCTGCATGTATGATTGATAGGTAAGGAGTGTTTCACCATATCATTTAGAAACTAAACATAAGCTTCTAATGACTTAAAATTATTTCCTTTTTTTTCGGACTGAGTTTACTAGTTTCTGTTTTTTGTACTGCTGATGGAAAATGTTAACCTTGAGATACTATTTGATTTTCCAGATGATGTGGAGTTTGTATAAACCTATTAAAAACCATGAGAATTTTTTTAATGTTTCTCTTATTTTGTATTTTATAAACTTGATATATATCAGTTTTTCCTGCAATCTACATTTTATTAATTTATGATATTTTGTAGAGACATTAAGTTAATTGGAAGCAGGAAAGAGGAAAAATATGCAACCGCCTTCGCCGGGAATTGAACCACAGACCTCTGGAATACCATTCCAGCGTGCTACCGTTACACCACGAAGGCACGCTAGGGAAGTGGGAGAAAATACCTTATATACTCCCCTTTTTAAAGGGCGACTAGGGTTTTCGGGGACCTAGTCGCCAAATCCTGGGTGCGGAGAATCATCCACAACTCTTTTAGTTCAGGCACCAACTTGTAGAGTCATTAGGTTAATTGGAAGCAGAAAAGATGAAAAAATATGCAACTGCCTTCGCCAGGAATCGAACCACAGACCTCTGGAATACCGGCCTAGCGTGCTACTGTTACACCACGAAGGCACACTAGGGAAGTGGGAGAAAATACCTTATAATTTTTATTAGAAAAATGACATAATGACTTATAAAGAAGACTTAAATTAAATCTATTTTTAACCCAAGATAGGGATCAACCTGCAACTAATCTTTGCGGCAGAAAGAAATTAGGCTTAAGATAAAAAAAAAAAAAAAAATTATATCGTCTAGGCAATCAAAAATAAAACAGGAAATAATATCATTCATTGCATTAAAAACTCTAAAATGAAAGAACTGCTGGCTCTATGGGTTGGATACTGCAACTGAACATAAATGAAAACTTGACCACATGCAAAAGCTCGACTAAATTCTGAATAGTACCTCAAAAAATAGTCAGTACTGCCAACTCAAAAATAATATACTTTTTATTAAATTCCAAGAACATAATATAAAGTTCTTTCTGGCAGGAAATATGTTACTCTTTTATTTTAAAGTTTTGGATTTATTCCTTTTATTAAGTTTGCATTTTTTGTATATTAATCATTCAGCCTCTTTGTGAGTAATTAAGTAGTATCCATCTAAGTAAAGCATGTAAAAATTTAAATATGAAAGAAGTGCATTATTGAAGATTTGCACAACAAACCTTGGGAAATGAGATACTTTGGGGAAAATTTAAATTTAATAAAAGCTGAAATCAATTTTTTCAACTGAAAAATAACTGAATTATTTAAAATGAAATTTTTTTAGAGGGGGGGTGGGGAGGAATGAGATTTTTAAAAATATGTTAATGTTTACTCCAGGGTTTTTTAAATTTACATTTCAGATCCGGAAAAAAAATAGTGCATTATGTGTTTAATAAAATATATTTTTAAGTGCCTTAATACTTGAATAGAAATTTTTATTATAATTGCTAATATATTTCTAATAAATATATTTGTTATAATTTCCATATAGCCTCTTTTTTTATACAGCAGTTATTCTTTGTAATGTATATTAGATAATAAGTATTCTTGGTACTGTGCCACCATTTTAATTTCTCCTACTTTTCCTGCAAAGCAATGAAATTCCAGCCCACGTTGTGCTCTATCATCCTCAGCCAATCAACGGAGACTGGCTGGATAGGAAAATAAAAATAACGCGAAACGAGAGCATAAATACGGATGATAATCGTAAGGTTTCTTCATGTTCTTTTCCTTTAGTCTGGTTTAGCCGCAGTTGGTTTTCTTCCGTCAACCAGCTTGAGTCCGAGGTAGGCAAGTAAGTATATAGGTCAAGCATCGAATTGCTCTCTTTTCGAATCTCTCGCTCTGCTTGTTGAATGTTTTAACTCTTTCGTTTGCGGTGCGAAATATTCTACCACGTCGACATGCATATCTACCGGCAGATAGTTCGATACAAAAACAGGTGGTGTTATTTTTTCGGAGATGAAGTGTTAATGTTTTATAAGCAAAAATAAAAGCTTGCGTATATTTCGACCTTATGCGTTCTGTTTTGAATCTGTTATTTGTACATTAACATCGAATGCAAAATAATCGAAAATTTGTGCAGTAGTATCATGACGGGGGAAAAAAAAAAATCTTTTTTTCCAGACGTCGCGTCGTGCTTGACTGGTTCTGGAAGTTCGCTTTCGCTTTTCTCGGAAGAATTAGAATTTTCCCCTTTGATGTTAATTTTATTTGTTTTTGTTAGCGTTATTTCACTCACTGTAATTTTCTTTATTGCGAAATGTTTCTTACGTCTTGGAACCGTTTTGTGATATTGAGAATTCAAGTTAGTCTGTTCAAAACCGGATGATCTTTTTATGCATTCATATGGATGGAATGCTCACGTTGGAACAACCCGCACGAAGTAGGCCGTAATCCACGTGGTTGAAACATATGGTTGGATTACTAGGAATTTTTCTTTTCCTCCGAGGCATATTATTAAACAGTAAATGATTGATTTTGATTATTAGCGGTCTGTTTAAAATTAGAAATCATTTTTTTAAATTTTAATCAGGAATCATATTCATTTTTGTATGTGGCTGAATTCTTATCATTGTGGAGGTAGGATGATCGTTATATCACTGATTTAATATATCTGATTTCATAAAAATAATTGTTGTGGTGTACGAAACAAAGTGGGTTTCTTTCAACTTTTACCCCATTCTTGAATATTATTGTAGACTAAAATATATGCATTAGTGCAATATTATTGAGCTTAGCTATTTTGCTAATCATATGCCGCGTATTAATTTAAATGTTTTATCCGAACATTTTTAGAGGTACTAACAATTTCTATTTCTTTAAATTTTTTGCTGTTATTGAGTATTATCATATTTAAAAATTAGACTTGTGCATTAGTGCAGGATTGTGAATGTTGAGTTTAGCAGATTCTATTAATAATACAATATCGCGTATTAATTTCGAATTTATTGATTCAAGGATTATTTAAGTATAAGCAATTTATATTTGTATTCCCCTTATTCCTGAATATTAGAATACATTAAAGTATTAGATTTTTATGTGTTAGTGCAGTACTGAGAATGGGGAGTTTAGTGCTTCTGTTAATCATATGTCCCATATTAATATGGAATAGATTGATCTAAGAATTTTTTTAAATATCAGCAATTTAAATTTCTAAAGTTAAACAAAGGTGCTGAAAAAGTATTCTTTTCTATTGTAAAAGTTAGAATTTTATTTCCATTAGATTTAAGTGATCAAATATATTATAAAAAGTGTAGGTGTAACATATTTTTCTCAAATTATTAATTTTTTGTGAAATGTATGAGTGTTTTTTAATCAGTAAAAAAATTCAGTAGCTAGCTATTCAAAAAGAAATGATTATTTTGTTCAATTAATATGAATATTCTAACATACTACTGTATTATTTTATTCACTATTGTGTAGAAAATCAAGATATAACATATTTTTCTGTAATTATTAAAATTATTTTGAAATGAATACAAAAGTCCTTTTTATCATTTGAATAGTTTAACAACTGCCTATTCTGTTTAAGTCTACTTATCTATCTTACTATAGGTTGGTGCATTAACTGGTTCTGTAACTGGCAGTGCATCCCTACAGACTCAAGCTTGTGTCCCTCCTCAGAATGCAGATAATCCTTCTCCCTCTAATAATCCAAAACAGAGTGTTGCTGAAAAGAAGCCACGATCTCATTTTGTGCCTAAGGTAAAAATACTATAACTTTTAGCATACTATTTTTTCTAAGTTATGTTTGAATTAAAGCTGTTAGAAAGTTACATTTTAAGATATATTTTATGACAGTTTCGGAAGTTTCTTTTGTAATGTCAATGTTAAATGTTTTTGATATACTTTTTATTTATTGTCATTATACATTAAGAACATATTAATTATATGTAGGATTTTATGTTACTTAATCAATTGTTTTTATTTGAAACTCTACTGTAATTTCTTCTTTCCATAGTCCTCGCCAAAATGCAAATTAATTGTAAAGTATTTAAGTTGAGAATTTAAATATTTTAAAGTTCTTCTGGCAGCCTCTCTTGCAGTTATGTACTATCGTCAGTTATGCCAAATCTTATTCAGGCTTCAACCATTTTGCTAGCCGACTTTAGAAGCATGCCATTAGTTTACTTGAGCCAGCTTAAATAGATCACCTTGTGTAGTTTCCAATTATGTTACTTGAATTTAATTTCTTATGTTATTTTAAATACCCAAGAGGGGGAGAAACCTCTCATAGTGCAACTGACATTAAAGAAATTAGTGCAATCACTTTGGCACATTTGCCCTTTTTTTTTTTTTTTTTTTTTTTTTTTTTTTTTTTTTTTTTTAACATAAGGTGAGTCAATGAAATTTTAGATTTCAATTTATAGTGGTATGGTCATCTAAAGAACTGTTATGCACCTGGTTGCCGGAGTTTGGCGAATTTTACTAATGTGTTTGTAATAATACATATGTACCAAAAATTATTAATTTCACCCTCCCATCTTCTAATTTGTACATTACAAAATCATACTTATATGATTTCAAGCTGTGGAATATATTTCAGGCTGTGAAATTCAAAGCATTTAATTATTGTGAAAGAATGCCTTCAGTATATTAAGCTTGTATTTTTTAGACCATCTTATATGTAATCCTGATTTTTAATTGTAAAAAACTTAAAAAATTGCTGTGTTTGTCTTATATTTTGTCCAGTATGGTATTTGTATATGTGTATATGTATTTTATGAAAATCAATTTTTCTGTTCTATGCAAGTGCTGAGAGGGGAGATATGTGGGTACATTAGATTTATTGTTTAATTTCTATTTCTGAAAATAATGCCAAATTTTTCTTTTCTGTTTTATCAAAAATAAAATATTCATTGTTTAAATATGGGCTTATTTGCATTTCATTTAAATTAATGCTTTGTTTTATGAGAAAGTCAGTTATAAAAGAAACTGTTCTTTTCAGGAACCAACAAAACCTTCCTCACCACCAGCTCCAAAGGCTAGCCAGCCTTTTACTGACATTTTTGGTGCTCCCATAAGGACAAAAAGTTCTCCAGACCCATCTGTGAAATCAAAAGTAAATAGAATTATTTTTACACTTTTCTAGGCTACTTAGATTTTATTTCTGTTCATTATGAAATTTTTAAATTACCATATTGCTTTAGTTTTGATTAAGGAACATTTTTTATTTGTTGAAATAATTTGTCTTGGAAATATTTTCTGCAGACCATGTGGTTATGTTTCTTTTGGTTTATTTTCCATGTCTTATAATCAACTAGGCATTCTAAAATTATTTTGCCAGACTTTGATTTTATATTTTTTTCCTTAAACGGGATTCGTACAACCCTTAAAAGTCCTTAGTTTCTCTCTCTCTCTTTTTTTAAAAGTTCCTTAAAAGTTCTTAATTTCAGCCAAAATGTAAAATGTCCTTAATTTTGCTCATATGACATTTCTCTCTCTGTTTTCCCTCTCCAATGATGGCTATTTTGAGTGTGAATTAACATTTTAGATGAATAAGGAAATCAAATCATGTGGCTCATTGCAAAACTATCACAAATTAGTATTGTGAACAACAAGGAACACTCCACCCTAGATTATCAAAAGTTATCTGTCTGCATTGAAGAAAAAGAGTTTCTTGGACCTTGACCTTGCTACCTTTCTATGTGTGACCTATTACCTTTTGTCACATGGAGAGATATTTGTAAAAGGGCCTTTATGTGTTAATACAGGTCTTAAAAGAATAACAAAAATCTTTAGTTAAATCTGAAAATTCGAAGATAAAAAAAGAATTATTGAAAAAGAAATTGATTATACCAAGGGAGGAAAAAAATTGTTTTTCAAAGGGATATCATTGAAAAATTAACACATGAACCAATGACAATAGCAACATTGATTTGTTTATTAAAGCAAATGAATTTAGAAGGAAATGGATAGAAATTAACTAAAATATGTAGAAAATTTTCAAAAAAAAAAAAAAAAAAAAAAAGAGGCAAATATGCTGTGTTGTGTGTCTTGTAACATTTAACGTTCTAATATCTTTTTAAAATTGGAATAATAAATTATATGGGTATCAAATATGTACCTGTTTCTTTAAACTGTAAAATTCCCTTAGTTCATTAGTAATTAGTTGTAAAATTTCCTTTTTAATCCATGTTTTTTAATTTTTTTAAAAGAAAAATAATTTTTTAATAATGACGACGTATATCTTCAAAATATGTGAGATGGCTTTAAAAGTGTGAAATACAAAGATTTCAAGAAATTTCCTAAGTTAATGTTTTTTACTCGGTAACTCTTAGAAAGTTAATTTTATTCTCAAATTTATTTTACATTTATGTTCTGCTTAATAGTAATGTTTTCCTCCAAGACTTGTTTAATCTGAGAATAATATAGCTTAAATGAAGTAGATTGCATAATTAGATAGAAGTTAATTTTAATTGATAGTCTTAAAAGATCTTTAATTTCCATATAAGAGATAGACACAAGTTCATACTATCATCATAAAAATAGTTAGAAATTTTCTTTGATTTATGCATTTCGTTTTAAGAAAATTGCCTCAAAAAAGGATTTAGGTTTGAGATTAGTTCCCCTCTTCCTTTTAAAGCATAGTTATTTATTACTGTTCAGTATAATTACATAATTGCTGCCAGTGTGAATGCATTTCTTCAGAAGATGAAACCATTATTCTTAATACTCATGTAAGGAATTTTCATGTCTATTGGAGTCTCCGAAATCAGTTATTCAAACTATTTCCTATTCTCAAGATCTGGTAACAGCTTTCCCTTATTGATATCCGAAATGTCGTGAATGAAAAAAGCTGGGAGGATCAAAGTGAGGTCAGGAAAATCTGGAAACAACTGGATAACTAAGATCTGGAAACAACTGGAAAAAAAAAGTTAAAAAATATGTCAAGATTAACAATGATTCTGTAGAAAAATGTTGAGAAATTAAATTTTCTGAGGAAGTAAAATTGTCCCGGTACATATGTGTTTTAATAAAGAAATTAAGAAAATTATTAATTCTTTAGATTAAAATTGAAGGAAAAAAAAAGTATATAATTTGTATTTGCAAATCTATATACCACCACTTTTTCTAAAGGTCTAAATTATTGTTCTTTTCTTCTATTGTTTTTGTTCAAAAGTTGTGCATAAGTTTTGATAAATTATTTGAAAGACATCTCTGTATTTAATATATTCATTATCTGTGGTAAAAAATCTGCTCATTATTTATTTAAAAATTTTAGCAGTGCTTCATGTGCTGCTAATATTAAAAACTGTTCATTACATTTATGGCGATGAAAAATAATTCACTGATTATTACTAAATGTTCATAACTTTGAGATGCACACTTCAGTAAGAGAATTGTAAAAAATCATGAAGCCATACGAATAATTGTTTTCTTTAATTTGAAAAGAATTAATAGAAATCTAAGTTTTTATGAGAGAAAATAAGGCGAAATTTTTTTAAATGCAAGTTTTTAACTTTACTTATAAAGAGATTTGCATGATGCAAAAGTTTATCTTTGTCAAACTTTTTAATTGTATGGCTATTAATTAGAAAATCCTAATAATAAACTAGAACACTTAATTTAATTTTTAGAAAATATGTAAATTCTGCGGTATATATTTGAAATTTTCCATGTAATGTCTTAAAATTTCTTTTTTGTCCTTTTTGCGATGATAAAGACAACATGGTTTACATTATTATTTTTATCAATTTTGAACATGTCCTGAAATCTTTTTGTGACCTCATCTTCCAAGCTTTGGAGATGATCCCTAACCTTAGGCACTTTCTGTTTTCCTAATAAAAGGAAATGACAAAACGTGTCTTCACCTGCTTGCCTAGTTTTGCTTTGAAGGATTTTACATCTTTCACATTTCATGTGCAAATAACCCCTTTTCCTGCAATGCCACATTTAGTTCATCCAGTTTATCAAATGCATCAGCTGCAAACATCATCTCATATCTCCCCTCCTCCTGTTTTTGTAACAAAATTGTGAGATAACTTTTACATGTCTAGAAATAAGAGGATTTGCACTCTGTGGTGTGCAGAATCTTTTTATCACTTTGCCCAGGCTCAGCTGCTTCACACTGTTGTAGTAAATATGTCTCCATATTCTGTCTCCACATCCTCAAGAAAAGATTTGAACTATTGATGGTGGAGAGTTTAAAAAATTTGAATCCATAAATAAGGAGTGTTATTACCATTTTTATTCATATGTAGTTGGTTCTTGGATTTTTGCAATCTTAACAAAACATTTAATATTTTTTACAGAAAAGGTAATCTTAATTTATGTAATCTGATGTTTATTGTTATTATAGTAGTTTAGGGAAATTATGCTTGCATCATTTTTATGATTCAAATTAAATTTAGTTTTTTCAAATATTTAATTATGATGAGCTTGAAAGAATTTAAAGTACAATAATAATTTCCACAATATTCTTTGAAATAAAGCGCAAACTAAAAAAATATTATAAACTGGCATCATTATAACATGAAAAATTTGGGTTTAAATTCTTGATGTAAGTAAGTGAAGCATGTTTATTCATGTATGTACATGTTAAATTGAATACAAATTTTGAATTCTAGAGACAGAATTACAAAGTAACAATAAAATATATTTTTTAAATCAGAATATCAGTTACTGTTACCATCTATAGAAATTAAGTTTTCTGAATGTTTATATAAAATTTTTAAAAAGGAAAGAAGCATATTGATGATGCCAGCCTATATGCTTGGTGTTACAAAATGTTATCTTTATAATTAAATTTTTTTATGCAAAAGTAATGATAAGATTTATAATGATAAGATAGTTTGAAATTCTATATGATTATTCACAATAATGGGTAGTTTGTTATTTGACAAATTATGGAATATAATGATGGTATACTGGTAGGAGAGTTTAAAAGTATGTCTATTTATACATAGCTAGTATGTGGGATATAATCTGTTCACCATCATTTAGTATGAGACTTAATAAGAACACTGCATATAAAACAAGGATGCTTTTCATTATTTTAATTTTAAATTTTAATTTATTTCAATTTTAAAACAAAAAGTAAATAAGAAGAGACAAGGTGAATATTTGACAGTTCTAGGAAAATTTTAGGATTAATTTCCTCACAGATTTAGTAATCGAATTACAAATTTATTAATTTATTAATCGATTTAGTAATCTATTACAAAATGTTACTAGGAAAAACCACAGAACATATTGAAATTAGCTCACCTGAAGTTTGGGTTTGTGTGTGGTGTGTATTTAAAATTAGGCAAAGCACACAGGGCTATCTGCCTAAAGGGAGGGAATGCCCTTTTCTTGGAGGACTTTCTATCTAAATGGAAACTGGCTCGTATACACGTTACACAATGGGAAAACCACAAAACGCCCATGCATCCAGCCCGTTCGCGGGATTCGAACCTCAGACCGCACTAAACCATGTTTCCAGCGTCTTTACCGCTTCGTTGGTCCGCTGGTGGGCTGCTCACCTGAAAGAGTAGAAAAACCTAAATGTAAGCCCTCAATTAAGAGGAGCAAAACCAGCAGAATTGTTTCTATATTTCTACATTTTAATTTGAATAATAATTTTTAATCAATAAGTCTATAAATTATAATACATAAAAATGAAATTAAAATGAATTTTGAAAATCAAACAAACATAAATTGCTCAATTAAACAAGCATAAATTGCATATTATTTGAATAGCTGGGCTTGAATCAAAGTTCTTAGAAGAAATAGCAATCTTATAAATTGTGGAAAGAGGTGAATGGACAGCAAAACTTAAACTTTTACTTAGCATGGTTAATATAGCTTCAGTCATCTGAGATAATATATTATATATAAGTGACTGGGAGAAGTAATGAAGATATTCATTGGCTTAAAACATTTGCAAGATAAGAGAAACTTTAGCTATAATATGAAAATTTGCTTACTTGCATCAAAAATATAATCATCTTAAGTAAGATTAATTGCAAGAATATTAAATTGACTAAGTAAAAAAGCACACTTTGAATTTTGTTAAAGTCCGATTAAAAGATTAAATTTAGGAATTGAAAAATTTTTCTTTGACTGTACTAATTAGGTA